AAACTTTTACCATAATCTTCTCAAGTGCCATCTCTATTTGAGGATACTTTTACCATAATCTTCTCAAGTGCCATCTCTATTTTAGGATACTTTTACCATAATCTTCTCAAGTCCCATCTCTATTTTAGGATACTTTTACCATAATCTTCTCAAGTGCCACCTTCATTGTAGGATACTTTACCATAATCCTCTCGATTATCAACAGTGTCCTACTTACATTTTACGATACTTTTAACATTGTTTTCTCAAGTAACAAGTAATAAGTAAATTCATCTCGGGAGACTCATTGTAATTTTCTCAAATACCTACGTCCACTCTTCTTGATGAGAACTTTACCATACTTTACTGAAGTAACTACTGAGTTTGATCTCTATTTCGAGAACTTTTAACATAATTTACTCAAGTAGCTGATGAATTTTAAGTCACTTATAATGAATAAACTTTTTAAACACAGAATAGTTTATGGAAGAAATGGGAAAACACATATATATCGAATGGTTTAACTCACTCACTTTGAGCCAAGTACGTTTGAGCCCGAAATTTTAAAACTGTAAAAATATCACCAAAACAATCTATTGTCTTGAAAGTTCAAATTAAAAGAAAAAAAAAGCGAAAAATATTTGAGCAACGTTTAGGGAAAGACAAAAATTGAAACTTAAACAATAACACATTTGATAATCTACTTATGTTGTACGACTAATAAAATTTCAAGTATAGTTTGCTTTTCTAATTGGTGGTATATTGTTTTTAAAGTTACAATGGTTTATCTTTTGTTATAAAACATAAAACATAATTATTATATAATGTACGGACAATGACCAAATATCGAATATAACTCGTATAATAGTACCGATCTTAATAAGATATATTTATTGCCGTAGGAAGCAATTTTTGGAGTGGTCAGGCCATTTCTGGGGGGGGGGTATGCCATCCCAGAAAATTTTTGAAACTTTAATGTTATGAGATTGAATCTCCAGCCATTTTAACTACAAATACTGTATACACACAACGTAATGTATTGAATTAAAATAAGCAAGTTTAAATACGTAAGTTGTAGCTATACCTGCCATGAACAAGTCAGATCATGGTCTGACTGGCCTTACAGCTTCCTACGGCCCTGATATTTACTAAAGAGAGAAAAAAAAAATATTAGACTAATTTCATGTTAGTTGTTATATATACGATTGTGCCCTGTATAATGTATCCATACAACTTACTTATATGTTATAGTCCTTTTCTTCCACCCCTGTGAACCAATTACATATGGATTGGCTCTAATGCTATTGTTTCTAGGAGACTGTCGAAGTATATCAGGAACTCCGCAGCGTGGCGCTGTCAATAATTTTTTGGTAGCGTCGTCGATGAAACCCGTTGCTGGCAAATGGCCAAATTGCTGTACTTGTTTCACAGCTTCTCTGAAACTTTCTTCCGTATAGAAGGCTTCCATTTTCGGTCCTGCATTTATGAAGTAGCCATATTGTTTCATGAAGTCGATCTGACGAATAAAATAATTTCATGAGAAGCTACAAAGTTGTCCAAAGTTAAGGTTTTTAACTTGTGTGGACAAGAGGCTAAACGACTAGGACAGGCGCCATCTTGTTTCCGTCAAGTCGTTCCTAACTTTTAATTGCGGACCAATCAGCAGCACCCGCAGCGGCTACTCTTGGCTGACTGTCACGCTTATAACGCATCTACTGTTTAAAGTACAAAGTGGGTTTGATAGAATCACATCTGGAACCAGGCCTGGCATGGCCCGGTGATTAAGGCGCTCACTTGCAATCTGCATATAGCGAGATCGAGTCCCGTCATCGCTCTTTCAGCCTTAGGGGCGTTATGATGTGATGGTCAATCCCACTATTCGTTGGTAAAGAGTAGCCCAAGAGTTTGCGGTGGGTAATGTTGACTCGCTGCATTTCCTCCAATTTATAACTTAAAAATTAGGGACGGCTAGCGCAGATAGCCCTCTAGTAGCTTTGCACAAAATTCAAGAAAATAACTAAACCTCTAAAACCACAGAGGCATCGTGATACTATAAACAAATATTTTAAACTAACATTCACCAATAACCCTAACTAATACTAATGATGTTTTATGTAAATATTTCTAGTTGTTTCACTCTTCGGGGCCCGGCATGGCCAAGTGGTTGAGCCGCTCGACTCGTAATCTGA